AGTCATTGGACTTGTTGGAACCATTGGACATGCGGGCATTAATCGAATTGGACTTGGACAATAATTACTTGGCATTGAATACATAATTGGCGAACTAATAAATCAAGAGAGAGAAAAAAACGATGAAAATCAAATATTTCTTTGTTAAAAATTTCTTTACTTTGAGTTGTATATGGACGATATAGTTTAAGATATTAGACAGGCAGACAAAACAGACAGAGGCAAGCACGTCTGATAGTCACACCGTGCTGTTGTAATATGATAGAGTATAATTTCAAATCGATTGCTTTTCCTCTATATATTCTCTCTGTTTTTCTTCTTTATTTAATTCCGTCCGACGATAGACATATACTAACTAAATAAATAGTAGATAACTTCTATTTCAAATAGAACAAATAACGGGAATATAAAGATTCGATGGATGACTAGAAGAACAGAAAAAAATAATAGTAACTAAATGCACGTGAATATTCTTTTGTACATAGTTGGTCGTCGAAGAAAGAGAATAGATGTATACAATGATCTTATTCTTTAAGTTCAATATGAATTATCTAGAATGGTTCGTCCGAATCAATTGGATACCTAAAGAATTCAATAAAGAGTTTTTCTATTTAGTCAACTATTAAATTCGAATAATTTATAAATGAATTCGTTATGTTTATCGATCAATACAAATTAATAGAATAAAATTATAAATGATACATATACATAATTTAATTGCACCTAACAAAAGTTCAAAAGCATATACTAATTCATTTTATACCTGATTCTATACGAAATTACAAAATATGTTGTTAATCAATATATTTATCTATTCGCGATGGTTCACAATTCGAACTAAAATATAATAATTTGCTGCTTTCGGCTTTGTTAACGTAATAATGACTTAATTTATATCGAAATTTCAAGAGAAATATAAACTTAATATTTTCAATCGATTAGTAATCTTATAAAATATTTTTTTTGGGAGTAATCATATTGCAAAAATTGATAGTTTCAGAAAATTTTAAGTGCATAGAGTTTGATTTACAAGTAGCCTGAAGCATAATTGATGATGTAACCGAAAGATGAATACTTTTACACTCTTATTCTGATTTGGCCATTGTAACATAATAAGATTTGTAATCATGGAAAATATAAAAAACGTCAGTTTATATTTGCCTATATTCATCAGCATTAACTATGACATAGCTTTTATCGAGTTAATCGGTCCATTTATTTTCAAGATTTTCAGAAATAGAAATAATTTTATTTTATACATTATCGATCATAATCTTATTTAATTTTCACTTCGAATCTGTTCGATACGAAAATAATTGATAATTGACCATAGTGAATACAAACAATACCTTGATATGTTTAAAAATTCAATACTATTTAATCATTCTAGTTTATTTTAACTCTTTGGAGACGGACGTGATATATATATACTAGGTTGGAAAAAATATTTTAATAGAGAAGCACTGCCATACTTTGAAATATGATTAATAATGAGTTTTATACCAAATGAAAGCCTGTAAGGGTGTGGGTGTGGGTGATGATAAGGGTGAAAATGATAGAGAAGAAGTGACATCCACAACACCACAATCTCACCCTCAAGATGGTTTTTTCCAACATAGTACAACTTCGAGTATTTCTCAAAATTCTCGGATAATATAATACCACAAATCAATCAAAAATGAATGGAAATCGCCTGTAGAGTAATTTTCCGGTGTTGACACAGTAAATTATCAGAATTTGAAAGCGCCGGAAACAGTCGCACATAGTGCATTCGAATATTAAACATATATTTTGGATATTATTGAGCTTTATATTTGAATTCATAATCATCACTATATATAAGAAAAATACTAGCTTGTTTCTAGACACACACACACAAAATATTTTCTTATATTTATTAAACATCCAATAGTACAAGTTTCTTTTTAAGTACGTAGTAAATTATTTATTACTATCTATAGTAATACCACCTACTGCATATGTTTTTTTTTTCAAATGAAATTTCAATTAAAATTTTCTATCGATATCTGTATTTAACTTTATATCAAATAAAAAATATGACGAATAATTCTAGTGAGAATTTGTCCATTCTCAGGTTGCATGTTTATTATCATTGTTCTTGCGCGTAAACATAAAACTTTTTATCATAGTTTTTACACACACATTTAGAGACAAAAAAAGTGAAATCTTAAAGATCTAATTCAACACATGAAAAGAAAAGCGAAAGGTGACTAGAAATAAATAAACCAGCAAGACGGATTATAAGCTTTTGTTATTTAAAAAAAAAGAAAAGAAATGTGTGTTATTCTGTCTATTGTTTCGATATTTAATCAACTTCTTCGATTGTTGGTCCTTTACCACCTGTTCCTTTACTACCAGTTGGTGGAGCACCAGCACCTTCACCTCCTATAATAAAAATAAAAATAAAATATTCTATATTTTCGAAACAATATTCTATAACTTACCATAAAGTTTAGTCATAATTGGTGAACAAGTTTTTTCAACTTCTTTAAGTTTATGTTCGAATTCTTCTTTTTCAGCCAATTGATTTGTTTCCATCCATTTAAGTGCATTTTCAATTGTTTCATTGATTTTAGTTTTATCTTCAGCTGAAATTTTTGATGAAATCTTGTCGTCATTAATGCTTGTTTTCATATTAAAGCAATATGATTCAAGTGAATTTTTAGCTGAAATACGCTCACGTTGTGCATCATCTTCTTTCTTGTATTTTTCAGCATCAGAAACCATTCTTTCGATATCATCTTTTGATAAACGACCTTTATCATTTGTAATGGTAATTTTATTTTCTCGACCAGTTGATTTATCAACAGCTGAGACATTTAAGATACCATTAGCATCAATATCGAATGTAACTTCAATTTGTGGTACACCACGTGGTGCTGGTGGAATACCCGAAAGTTCGAAATTACCAAGTAAATGATTATCTCTTGTCATTGAACGTTCACCTTCATAGACTTTAATATCAACACCAGGTTGATTATCCGAATAGGTTGTAAATGTTTGTGTTTGTTTTGTTGGAATGGTTGTATTACGTTTAATCAAGGCTGTCATGACACCTCCAGCAGTTTCAATACCCTATAAAATAAAATAATAGTAAATAGATACGAATGAAAAAAAAATTTCTTTTCTTACTAATGAAAGCGGTGCGACATCAAGTAAAAGTACATCTTTAACTTCTTCTGATTTATCACCAGTTAAAATAGCTGCTTGAACAGCTGCACCATAAGCAACAGCTTCATCTGGATTGATTGATTTGTTTAATTCTTTTCCATTAAAGAAATCTTGAAGTAATTTTTGTACTTTTGGAATACGTGTTGAACCACCAACAAGTACAATTTCGTGAATACTAGCTTTATCCATTTTAGCATCACGTAAAGATTTTTCAACTGGTTCAAGTGTTGAACGGAAAAGATCAGCACAAAGTTCTTCAAAACGAGCACGTGTAATTGTTGAATAGAAATCGACACCTTCATGGAGTGAATCAATTTCAATTGAAGCTTGTGATGATGATGATAATGTACGCTATTTTCAAAAAGAATAATTAATAAATTCAATTTTCAAAAAAATTCAATTAACTTACTTTAGCACGTTCGCAAGCTGTACGTAAACGACGAAGACCACGTTTATTTTGTGATAAATCTTTGTTATTTTTACGTTTGAATTCTTGAACAAAATGTGTTACCATTCGATTATCAAAATCTTCACCACCTAAATGTGTATCACCAGCTGTTGATTTTACTTCAAAGATACCTTCTTCAATTTTAAGTACTGATACATCAAAAGTACCACCACCCAAATCAAAAATAAGAATATTTCTTTCACCAGATACTTTTTTATCTAAACCATAAGCAATAGCAGCAGCTGTTGGTTCATTAATGATACGTAAAACATTAAGACCAGAAATAACACCAGCATCTTTTGTTGCTTGTCGTTGTGAATCATTGAAATAAGCTGGAACAGTGATAACAGCTTCGGAGATTTTTTTACCAAGATACGCTTCGGCAATTTCTTTCATTTTTGTTAAAACCATTGATGAGATTTCTTCAGGGGTAAATGATTTTGTTTCATTTTTATATTCAACTTGAATTTTTGGTTTACCACCTTCACTAATAACTTTAAATGGCCAATGTTTCATATCAGCTTGAACTGTTGCATCTTCAAATTTACGACCAATAAGTCGTTTAGCATCAAAAATTGTATTATTTGGATTCATAGCTACTTGATTTTTAGCAGCATCACCGATCAAACGTTCACTATCAGTGAATGCAACATAGGATGGTGTTGTTCGGTTACCTTGATCATTTGCAATGATTTCAACTTTTCCATGTTGAAAAATACCAACACACTAAAAAAAATAATTATTTTATACGAATAAAAAAATAAATCAATAGATAACTTACGGAATATGTGGTGCCTAAATCAATACCAATAGCGCGAGCCATTTGTGTTTAAATGTAGTAGTAGTCGGATTAGAATAAAGAGAGTATAAAAATTTCGAATAATAGACTATGTAAAATTTTGCTTTGTGCTTAGTCTTTATATAGGGTAAAGCGTTTTTCTTTCTGGTATGGTCGAGAACTTTCTCGAAGAACAGAAGAGAAGAGGAGAACGAAAAAGAAAAAAAAGGAAGATAGAGAATCAAGAATGTTCTCCAACAATGGCCGATTAAAGAGTACACTATATGTTGCTGTTGCGTCAGTTAAAGTTATTCATCGGAAAATAAAAAAATTCCTTTTTCCTTTGAATGAATTTTAAAAAACGTAATAAACAGAAAAATCGAGACTTTTCGAATATGTATCATGATGATTTCGAGCGGCATCTATCAGAATAAAAATAATACGTTTCTTTTTTGAATATAATTAAAAAAAATCGAGATGTAATTATTTTATCTATCAAAAGCCATATAAATACAATGCATAGTTAAAGTACAATACAACAGATAATTGTTATTCTTGAGAAAGAAAAATTGAATTTGTGTTTTATTTTCTTGGTGGATAATTACATTCAAATGGTGATAGTACATTTCGAATAGCTTGATTTTGTAAACAACCATTAATAAATTCTTCTTTTGATATAGATTGATTATGATCAAGATCTAATATACGAAATATATCATATGCAACACATTCTGGTGAACATTCTTTGATTTCATTTCGTGTTATTGTAAAAAGTTTTTTTAATATTTCAATCATTTCAATTAATTCTATTGTTTGAGATTGATCTTTATCAAATAATGTAAATGTATAATGTAATTTATCAACAGGTTCACCAGTTGATGTTAATGCATATGCAATAAGAAATTCTTTAAAATCAATACGATGATTTCCTAAAAGAAAGAAAAATTTATGTTGATGAAAATTAAGATGGAAAAAATGAATCAAACCATTATGATCAAATGCTTGAAAGACATTCTCAGCAATATTTTCAACATTTTTTGTTGATGAGTTTTCTAATTCTTTATAAAATTTAATAAATTGATTTTTATTTAAATGACCATTTGGACATATAGATAAAAATTCACGATACCATCCTTGAATAACATGTGGAGTTAAATGTGTTTGTTTCATTAAATATCGATAATCATTTAATGATAAATCTTCATCTAATTGATGATGATGTAAAAAATTACCCATATATTTTAAAGTTACAGCAAAAAATATTAATAATAACTGAGTTTTAAAAGAAAAAAAGGTCTTTGGTTGTTGATCCTTTTAATCTTCTACAAGTGTGTATTCCGCTAAATGTCACACTTATAGATTGTCAAGCAATAAAATGTGATAAATATAAGCGGAGAAGAAAAAGGAAAAAAGATTGAACGATAAAAAAAAGTACATTTTTATATTGCAAGAAAAATATAGAATATAGAACGAAGGAAAACTCTTGTTTGCCTACCTTTTTCTCTAATTAATGATTTACAAAAAACCATGATCTTTAATCTTTTGGATTTTATTATAAACACAAATGTACTTTTTCATTCAATAGATAAGACTATTTTTTAAGGCATAAAACTGATTTGTTTTCCTATTAAATAAAATTTAAGGTAATAATAAATTCCTACATCAATAAATGACGTATTTTATGAGTTTTCTAAAGACCTAACATGTAAAAAGGTCATTGATTATACTTTCTACCAAATAATCTCGAGTTGAAATAAACCTGAAACCAGGTGTTTATCTATAATATTATTCATCGTATGTTGATGATTTACAAATAAATAAATATTTTTCTTTTTATTCATTAATAAATGTCGTTAGAATATATTTACTATACGCAGAAAAGGAAATCTATGATAAATTGTGTAGTTTAATCTTGTTAGAGAAAAATCATAGTTTAACGTTCTCTATATACGTATGTATTTTTTATTTGTTCAATATGTCACAATAGAGAGGTAATTTTCTTTACGTGCTACGCCTTCAGATACATATTAAATTACAATGATGAGAATAAAAAAATATCATAGAAAATAAATATATATGAATCAAGTGCATATATTAGCATGATTATTTTCTATGAACATATATATTTAAAAAAAAACATCTAATGAAATATTTATCATTCACCATATGCGTCAAAACAAAATATACAATGATTAATTAGATTTTATTATTTACGTAAAATGAAAAGTTAACAATATAATAGAACTAATTAGTTTATTCACCTGAATATATTATATAATTGAATAGTTTTGCTAATTCATTGAAAAATCAATTTAATATGTCTTCAAAAAACTTCTAAGTATTAAAATAAAATAAAATATTTTTTTGAATAGAAAAAAAAATTTTTTATTGTTATTATTCAATGAACTAATTTTATCATCTAGTCAACATTCTCGTATTAATTTCTTGCTCAATAAATGCTCAAAAAAATGTATATGATTGATGATGTTCTTGAATTATATGGTTAAGTATAAATAATCATAAATTCGAACCTTGAGAAACAATGAACCGATCATTGAATATAGTCAACGAGACGACAATATGTAATAGACATAATCATTGCGACTTTAACGTGTCGAAAAGACAGATGAGGGATAGACATGCAGGGTCGAAATTGAATCAAATCGTATACACATAATCACCTTGATCATTGAGCATATCACTTCATTTTATTACTACTTGTTTATTTACATTCTATTTTAAATGAATATATATATATATTTATATAAATATGGAAGAATCATAATTTAAATCTATATAAAATCTAAGCTCATTAGTTAATGTATTACATCTGTTTATGTTTTTTATTTTTCCAGGTTTCTCTTTCATGACAAGGTTAGGAATATTTTTGTTCTGATCTATCGTCTTGTCTTTTTTTACTTCGATGATTTTTTTCACCTTCAACAAAGAGACGAATCAGTCAGCCGTGTTGAGAACGATGCACAGTCGTTATCTTTGATTACGAATCTCCCTACTTAAATAGACGTTACGTCTATTAACGATTGGTAAACGAACAACAACAAATTAACAAAGGTGCCTATATACATAACATCTGTATATGCAGTCTACATAGCAAAAAAAAGGAAAGCAACAACAATACTTGTAATCTGTCTTGTTACGGATTCGAATCGAATAACGTATCTGTATACAGAAGATAGATAACGAGAGACAAGAGAAAAATAAGATTTATTATAATCAGCATATGGGCTGCAGCAACGGTAAACAAAATGGTGCGAAGGGAAACAACAAGAAACGATCATCTTTTACAAAAGTTCTACGTTTTCAAACACGTCGAACCGATAAATCATCACGACCATTAAGTTATACAGGAATTAATCAACATTATCAAGAACATGAAATTTCTACTCGACCATTATCAATGTATGATGATGTTAATTTTAATAATTTAGAAATAAGTAAGATTATTTATTTATTTTTTAAATCAATTTTTTATTACTTAATTCAAGAAACATCTATTCATAATCAAAATCAGACAGGAGACGATGATGATAATAATTTACCATCTCATCGAACATCAAGACGAACATCTGAAACAAATGAATCCATAACAACAAGTAATAAATATAATTTCATTTCATAATCATGATTTTCTTTTTTTTTGGCAATATTAGATAAATCATACAGTGAAACAAATAATTCTGAATATTCGGAACAAACGTCCAATACGAATATCGGATTATTATTTATCAACAAGTAGGTAAGTCTAGTATTTGTATAAAAACATGAATATTTATTTTTGTTAAATTATTTCATATCTAGTTCAAATAATGAAAATAATTTAATTGATGAAAATAATTGGAAATATTATATTCCATTAACAGTTGAAAAAATTTGTAAAATATCATTATTAAAAGATATCATATATGAAAAGATAAATGATGAATTTCTTCATATATTAAATCGTTTAATTCGATTTGAAAAATCTGATGAAAATGAAGATTTTTTTGAATGGTTTTTTGATGAACTTGAATATTTAATGCATTCCTATGATGATGATAACGAATATAAACATAAATCTTTACTTGTACGTTCAATAGAACAAGATCGTTATGATTGTATGAAATATCTATTTGATTATCAATTATTACCAAGTAAACTTGATATAAATACAACTAATGATCAAGGTCGACATTGTTTATTGATGCTTGCACATAAAAATGGTCCTATAGATGCAATTGAATATCTATTAACACGTCATCTTTCATGTCTAGATACAAATAAGTTTGATTTAAATATATTTACTTCATTACATCATTCATGTAGAAATTTTAATTTATCAATAAGTGAATTATTACTTTCACATACAAATAGAAAATCATTACAAACAGAAAATTCTGAATTACATACACCACTTGATTATTGGATTGAATGTTTATGTTCACTGAAAAAATTAAAACCCACACATATTGAACATCATTCAGATTCCTTACGTCTTGATTATTTACTTAATGATATTGATTATCATTCAAGTGTTTTATTTTTTCAAACAATTATTAATCATGGTGGACAATTAACAAAAATTCCATTACGTTATATACGTTCAGTTTTACCACAATTAACATTTGAACAAAAACTATCCTATGTTGATCATCATGTTAATCTATGTTGTACTTTATATAAAAATCGTTTATCAACATTAATACGTGATTATGATAATTTTAAAATTAGTATACAAGCTGGAGAAATTTTAACTGAATTTATCTATGCATTAGGTGCTGTACAACTTGATGTACAAAATCGTTTAGCAGTCCATGCTTATTCAAGTGCTTATGGAACATCTATAGAACGTATTTATTGTGAAAATAATCTAGAAAATTCTAATACTCAATCAAAAACAAAAGAACACGAAACATTACAATCAACAATGCGTATGCTTTATTTTAAATTCTTTCGTTTATTTCAATGTATTTATAATAATCCGGATGTTAACGTTAAAAATTTTCAATTTGAACATATATTTCGTCGTGTTTGGATTTATTGGAAAGAACCTGTACGAGCATTTATTGCACAATGTAAAGAAAAAAATTCATCATTAAAATCAATTTGTCGAATAGTTTTATTTAAACGTTTGATTAATTATCCAGCTGACATTCAGCATTTACCAATTAATCCGTTTTTAAAACAATTTGTTGCATATGATAATCCATTTTTTGTTATTCACAGAAATTATTTATTGAAATAAAGATTTATTTTTTATTTTTTCATTTTTATATTATAAATAAATATTTCGTTGTTTTTCAAAAGTTTAAAATTCTATTCAAGTGTAACCATATGTATAGTAAATAAAATAATATATCATCTGCTTATAATTACTTTGCAAAGTTAGATCAGATTACAAAAAAGTAGACATGATGACTTAAGTTTTCTTGACCTTGATATAGTATATATACTATTAGCATATTATGTTGCATCGATACTTATCATTTATTGTATATTAACGATTAGACATATTGCTATACTATTCATGGTCAATCATAATTTCTTGAAATATATATCAAGTTCCTATACGTTTCAAATTATAACAACTAGTGTTTAGTTTATTCAACCTTATTTTTGTACAGATATTATCAATCTTTACATGTAATTTGAATATTAACCATGTCTGAATTTTTTATTTTATGAGAAAAACATCATTTTGATTTCTTACAGTTATCACTGTTTACGAATAGTAAATTACTCGGTTATCAAAGCGTAAATTTATTAGATAATGTTATGTAATTTTCGAATGTATATCATACTTTAGCAGATGTCACCCAGTATCACTATAGTGACTACTGAGGCAACGTACACAAGAACGATGGCGATAACAAACGAAAAGATAAAATCATTTCAATGAACCATAGAAGTGAAATTTTTTAGCCTAAAATAAACAAGAATAAGAATGAAAAAAGGTTCAGTATTTGCCAATAAGAAAGGTCCTTTAGGAAATGCATTTGGTACACCAGTAAATAGATCATCTACATCATCGTCACTTTTTGATAGTAGTCTTCAACAACAAAATCGAAATTGGCAAGCTACACCTACGAATATACGAAGATTACCTCCACTTCATCATCAACAATTATTACATCCATCAAATTCATCTTCAAGTATTCGAGCATATCCCATGGCTCCTACTACAAATACACCAAATACGAGTATTATTACTCGAACTAAACCATATACATTACAAGGTCTTATTGAAAATCTAAATGAAGTAAATAAAACTATAATCTTTTTCATATTTTACTTCTTTATTTAGTTTCTTGCTGAATTGGGTATACCTCATTGTATACGTTATGAAACAAAATATGGCTTTGAAGATATTCTTACTATTCTTGATGTATATATATTTTATAAATTTATTCTAAAAATAAAATTCTTATTTCTAGCATCTAACAAATCCATCTCGTTATGAAAATCAACGTTTTCAACCATTTCCACCAATTCCTCAACCGACTAAACCAGGTGGAAAAGTTTCATTAACAGATCGTTGGGCATATCTAAAACATGTTCTTCTCATATATCGTTTATCAACAACTGAACAACTTTCACGTATTAAACCAGAACGTACAATGTCAAATGAACATATTATGATTATGATTGAATTATTAATTCAATTAGTAACATGTACTATTAAAAGTGAACGAGAACAACAACGTACATTAGAAAATAATTATTTACGAGAATTTAAATTATTAATGCGTCAAATGTTTTGGATTGGTAGACATGATCCAGCTGTTATGGGAGAATCTATGTATGAATTAAGACATCATATCTATGCTAAAGATAATCTTGAAATAGTTGATAAATTAAAACATGAAAAACAAATGAATGAAATGAATGTTGAACGTGAACAACTTAAACAACAAGTAGGATTTAAAAATGAATTTCTTTCTTTTGATGAGATATATTTAGTTTGAAACATTAAAAACAACTTGTAATGAACTTGAAAATGAATGTACATTATTAACAACATCAAATGAAAATGATCTTATTGAAATTACTAAAAAACAAGAAGAAATATCAGATGAACAAGCTAAATTAGTCGAATTAACACAAATTGTTGAACAAAAAGGTATACTAAAAATCATATTTTTTGTCAAAAATAATATATATATCTATTAAGAAATGGATAAAAAACATCTAATTGATCGTAATCAATCATTATCAGATCGACTTTTTTCTCAACAAACAGATGCTGAATTACAACGTCATATTCGTTCAAATAGTGAACTTAAACAACAACATGAAGTTCTTCTATCAACACTTCTTCTTGAACAACAATTACATTCCACAACAACGAATGAACATAAACGTCTTGTTAAAGAAGTAATTCATACTGTCAGATGAGCGGCGTCCATCGAGTTACATGAATTTCGGCCCGGTCCGAAATTTCGGTCTCCCCGTCCATCCGCCCACCTAAAAAACGAGACTTACATAGAACACTGATAGGCGGCGCTCACCTGAAATTTTCATTTCGCCCACTCGACATTTCGATTCGCGCGTCCTAAAAAGAAACCTGAATATAACTAATCCCATTTATTTTTAGTTACAAGAATTACTTGGTAGATATCAAATATTACTTGCTGCATATAAACATAAAGCATCTCGTCCACCTCCATCTGCTGTTGACTTTGATCTAAGTGATATTATTGGTGATGCAACATCAAATATAGATAATGATTCTGTTAAACAAGCTCAAATAGCAATTGAAAGTTTAACAAAAGAAATCAATACTCAAGAAATTTCTCTTACACAACGTCATCGAGATCTTGAACAAGAATCAAAAAAAGTATTTTTTGGAAATTCGTTATTGTAAAATATAAATCAATTAATTATTATTATTAGAAAATTGAAGAACTTCAATCGGCAGAACGTGAATGGAAATCAGCAGCAAAAAATGGTCAACGTCGAGCAGCTCAACAAAATGAATTAAGTCGTTTTCAACAAGAAATTCGTTTATTAAGAACGAAAATTTTTGAAATTGAACGACGAATTGAAGAGAAAAAAGCATCAACTATTGAATTAAAAAAAGATTATGAACAAGTAAATTCTCATCTGAATCTTTCAAATAAATATATTATATTTAATATCTAGATTAAATCAGGTATCACAGAATTATTATCACGTTTTGAATTATTAGAAACAAATTATGTTAATAAAGAAGAAGAATTTCGACAAGAATTACTATGGTTTATATCTGATCAAACACAATTAGCAAAAATATTTCGACGTGATGTTGATGAATTAAAACGTCAACAACAAGAACATATGTCAAAATTAAATATACATTTAACAGCATCATCATTTGATGAACTTATTCAACAACAAATTAATAAATATTATCATTATAAACATTCGGAAGATGATGAAGAAGATGATTGTTTCGATGATGAACAAAAATTAATGAATCAATTTGATAAACTACATGAAGAACATACTATTTGGTTAAAAAAGAAAAAGAAAAATGCGAAAATAACTGGACCAATTATCGAACGATTTCGTATGTGATAAAAATTATTTGTATTTCTTAAATGTTCGTTTTGTTTTATTCTAGAGGAACTTTATGATCATTTACCAATGCTTCAATAAAACATTTTCTCTTTTCTGTCAGATATTTATATCTTTTAAATACTTTATTTTTTTTTTATAAATTATTAATAATTGTGTCAGATTAATTAACTTTTCTTATTAGTTTTAGATTTTTTTATAAATTAAATATGACAGATTTAACCTTCGCAGTTGTCACAGGTAATGTTTAAATAATCATCTTATAAAATTCTATTTTTATCTATTCTAGTGAGTACAACGTGCTATGATGATCCTATAAGAGATCATTCAGGACCAGCGCTCATTAAATATATGGCTGATAAATCAAATAATACGTACGTAAAATAATTCTTTTTTTCTTTTGTATCTGAAAAATTAGGAATTAATCTTATTCAGTGTTCAATGGATACATTTAGCATCTACAGTCGTACCTGACAATCAAACTCATGTCAAGGTATGTATTATTCCTGTTTAAAATTTAAAACTCTTATATCATTTTCCAATATAATTAATCTTTCATTTGTTGTAGGAAACATTATTAAAATTAAGTGCTGAATTACATCCACATTTGATTTTAACAACTGGTGGAACAGGAATTAGTCCAGATGATGTTACACCTGAAGTATGTTTTAGTTTTACTTACACAAATATGATCAATGAATTATATTTTAGGCTACACGTGAAGTGATTACAAGAGAAATTCCTGGTATGTCACAAACAATGGTAGCAAAATCATTGGCCATTACACCAATGGCAATGATATCCAGGTAAGATTTTATTCGAATTTAATTTTGTTTTTTTCATCTACTTCGATATTTAGACCAGTATGTGGTATTTATCAAAAAACATTGATTATCAATTTACCAGGCAGTGTTAAAGGCTGTGTAGTGTGTATTGATTTACTCTACTTTTTGTATTAGCACATATTATCTTACTTTCTATGAAGGAATGCTTGGATTTCGTTTATCCGATTCTACGACATGCAATAGATTTGATTCAAAATAAACGAGCCGAAGTTGCGATTACTCATTCCGCTATGCAAGGAAAAGTTAGTAGTTTCACCACTTATACAATAGTAATAATAATACGAATAAAAAAACATTATTCTTCTACAGACGATAAGAAAACATCATTCTTGTGGTGGAGATCATCATCATCATGGTATAATCATATAGATGATTATTATTATTATAAAATGAAATTTTCGAATTTCAGTCGGACCTGTTAATAAAGGTGAACGATTACGTCAATCTCCATATCCAATGATATCTGTTGATGATGCAATGAAAATTATTTTTGAACAAGCTAATAAAATGCCCATCATAGACAAACCTCTAACTGGTAAATAAATCCGATATTATTAATAAAAATTTACACTCAATAATCTATTTTAGAATGTTTGAATTATATTTGTACTGAAGAAGTTGTTGCTAAAGAACCATTTCCACCTTTTCGAGCATCGATTAAAGATGGTTATGCTGTTCATTTATATTCCGATCAATCTCATGAACAAATCTATGAAATTATTGGACGATCAGATGCTGGAGGAGAAAATGTAAATTACAATTGTCTTATATATTGAAATTCTATAATAAATAAATTTTTTTAAGAATAATATTCCATTGAATGAAGGACAATGTGTAGTAATTAATACCGGTGCTAAATTACCTGATTCTGCTAATGCTGTTATTCAAATTGAAGATACACAAGTTCATGAATATCATGCAACAAAAATCAATGGTTTAAATGAGAAAAGTATTCGTATTAATACTGTATGTTCTATAAATCAAGATATTAGGTATACACATTCGAATCAATTTTATCAAACGAAGAATATATAATTTTTATTATAGAGATATTGGTGATGATGTTACTATTAATGAACTTGTTTTGGAAAAGAATGTATCATTAGGTCCAGCTGAACTAGGTCTTCTTGCTACAGTTGGTTTACAATCTATTCGTGTTTATGATCAACCACATGTTGCTGTTCTTTCAACTGGCAATGAAGTTAGTTTGATTTATTTTTGCTATAGAAAATAATGATTCGGATAATATTTTCTAGTTAATGCCAATTGATGAACCATCAACTAATAATGGAAAAATACGTGATAGTAATAAAATCATGCTTATGAGTGCATTAAAAAATTTAAATATTCAAAATATTATTGATGGTGGTACCGCAAAAGACGAGTTCGTATTTATTTTTGTTAAATATTTTTAATTGAATTCTTCTCTTCAAGTGAAACATCAGTTATTCAAACATTACAATCAGCTTTTGAAGTAGCTGATGTTATTATATCAACAGGTGGTGTTTCTATGGGTGATAAAGTATTATAAAAATCAAAAATTTCCAAACTTCTATATGAATATTCTCTTAGGATCTTATCAAATCAATCTTAATAGAAAAATTTCATGCGACAATTCATTTTGGTCGTTTACAAATGAAACCTGGTAAACCAACTACATTTGCAACATGTGAAATAAATGGAAAGAAAAAACTTTTCTTCGGTTTACCAGGTCTTTATACGATACATTTTTCTTTAAATTCAATCATATTTTTTAATAGGCAATCCAGTCTCAGCTTTAGTAAGCTATTGGTTACTTGTTATTCCAACACTTAAACATATGATGGGATATATACAACCTCATCATCCAAGAATTCGTGTTCAGGTAGAATTTAATTAATTATGAGAAAACAAAAAATACAATTCACAAAAGCAATTGTTTTCTTTTAGCTTAATCAGCCAATTGAATATCTCGATCCTCGACCAGAATATATTCGTGTAATTATTGAATGGTCAACTAAATCTTCAATTCCAATAGCATCTATTGTTTCACCAGATAATCAATGTAGTTCACGTTTACTAAGTGCTCGACGTTGTACAGGTTTAGCATGTTTACCAGGTAAAAATGATGTCGATTCATCATTTTTTAATACTAATCAAGGTGGTCTTGGTCAACAAGTTGATTGTTTGCTTTTGTCTTTATAACTGATATAAAAAAGAAAGAAAAAATAAAAGAATATCAAATCAAAAGAAAATTGTTGTTCATTTTTGATGGTTATTAAGATCGAAATCCACTAATTAAAAATGATAAATATGCTGATAATGTATTTGCATTAAGCATATTCATATTAATTAAATTATTTGAATTGATTAAAGCATTATTATTCATATTATAATTATTTGTATTTGATAGTTTTAATCCAAGTGGAAAACGTGTTGATGAATATTTATTTGTATTAAGACAAATAGGATTATTATTTGATGATTTTTTTAAGCCCATAATTTTTTTAATATTTTCTTCAAATAAAATTGTACCTTTTGCTTTCGATAAATGTGTTGAATCTTCGAAACAACCACGAATATCATGTGATATATTCGCATGTGATATAATAAATACTTTTAATTCCGGTGATGCCATAGCTAAAAATAAATTTATATATATAAATAACAGACATATAATTATTTTTCTTAACCTTGTAATAAAGAATTTAATTTTTCTGTTTTTATTCGACTATCATCATTTGATTGTCGTGGAAAAATAAGTGAAATATAAACTTCAGATTGTGGACTAACAGTTTTTGTTGTTACGATTAATTCTTTGATTTGTTCACTAACTTCTTGTTCACTTAATTTATCACGATTAAGATCATTTGCACCAATATGAAACATACTTTAATAGTCTAATGTATATATCGCAAATACAAAAAAAAAATGAAATCTTACATTTTTTTCGTACCAATAAAACGAGTTGTTTGAACAAATTCAAGAGCTTGTGCTACTCGTTTACCACGCTAAAAATAACGATCATATTCGAAATAAATTGATCTATTCTATTAACAGTGGAGGGGGGGGGGGCGCGATTTTGGCTAAAACCTATTTTTGCTATAAAAAATTTCTGAAGGAAATGGGGGCGATCGCCCTCCCTAAATCCGCTACTGTCTATTAACCCTTTCCTCGCCTTTAGGTGTTATAGCTCTCACTTTAAGTTGAATAATTTTTTAAAACTTTTCCTATGTATATTAAGCGAATTGTCATTCTAGTATGTCCGGGTTAAGTAAACTTAGGATTTCGAAAATCGAAGGAGATAGTACGTTTAATTTACCATAGTTTTAATATATGTTTTTCTTTCGATATCAAAACGTGCTGGATCAAGATATTTTAATGCTGAATCACCAATAAGAATATTTTCAAATGTTAATGTTCGTTCTGCTCGATATTTTATTGATTGTTGATTATCGATAGTTTTATTCATTCGTTCACTTGAATTATTACTATCAAGTATAATATGGTTATTATTATGAGCCATTGTATAATTACATGTTGAATTATTTGATGATAAATCTTTAACAAATCAAAAAGTAAAACATTTCTATTACATGTTTATTTATTATTACCGATATTTTCATGATTATTTTTCATATTATCGTTTGTTTTTAATGATGTTAATTGTTCGGAAATAGCTATTTCACTTAAGCGTCGTTGAACATATTCACAGATTTTTGATTCCATTGTATTTTCAAGATTAAGTACTTCATAAATAAGAAGTGTTAATTGTTGTCGAAGTTTCGAACAATTTTCACAATGATTTGGATTATTTATTATTGAATCACCACTTTCAAATGATTGATGATTTATATTACATGAATCGCCCGCAGCTGTAATCAATGGATCTTGAATAGCTTTTATTAAAGAAGTATGACCTCCTTGATTGGATATTGATGAACCTGTTACATGATAACAAGCCTTTCATTAGACAAGAAAATTATAGATTTATTTAACGATGCATAAAGCACTCTAAACTATAGTTAGTTATCACAGTAGGAAGTTAGTTCTATCTCAGCAAATTTAAATAAGTATATTAACGGATGTAGATTATTCACTCTTCATTTAATAATCTAGCGGTGTTCATAGAAAATCATGAGCCGGTAGGTACACAAGCTTGATTTGCTAATTTATATATTATAGAAAAAAAGAATATTCAATTTTGAAGTATCTTCCTTCCGTCTTTTGTCAAAAGAAATAATAAACTTCTAGTAAATAAATTTGAGAACTTATTGTTTTTTTAACCTTACCTCGATGTTCATTAACCATCAGATTATGTGATGTTCTTGTCGAATTAGAATTTAAATTATCTTCTGATGAATTAATAATCGTAGACATAATCGTTCGAAATAGATAAATATAGACAGAAGAGACTGAACAATATTAATTTGTATCGAATATCTTATAATTTTTTTTTGTCAAATTGTTAAGATAGATCAAGATAGATTCGCATAGAACAGAATGAATTATAGAATGTTTAACGCGCGATTTTTAATTAATTTTATTTTACTATAAAAACAACAAAACAACAATAAGAACAATAATTATAATGCAACTGAATTCGATTGTTTTAAAAATTTTAATGCTTTACGTTTTTTTTTCTTTGTGGGATTATCAGATAATGTTTTTATTATTGGAGTTAAACTTGTTCGATAGCCATCCGAACATTTATTTGTTATAACAGTATCATAAGCTGTAGATGGATTTAAACTTCGTCGTTTTGCTGCTCCTTGTGCAACTGATGATGCTGATGGACGACGATCAACATTTTGACATGAACAAAATGTTTGTTTAAATGTATCACGAAATGCTCGTGACATAAAACAATACAGAATAAAATTAACTGAATTATTTATCAATGCTAATATATCAAATGTATCACCTAAATATCAGACAAAAAAAATTATAATTATAATTATAATATAGATCAAATTTCATTTACCGAGATGTTGATAAATTTCAAAATAATATCTTGATCTTGTTTTTGAAAGAAATGCTAATAATAATATTGCACCTTGAGGTAATTCGGTAACAAGAAATAAAGCGCAAACAATAACTAACATTAATGTTGTACGACGATTTTCTTTTTCACGTCTTCTACCACGTACACGTCCATTATTTACAGAAGTAATTGTGTTTGTTGTTGAATGTCGATGTAATTGTTCAGATTTTTGTAATGCATCACGTAATTGTTGTATTAGTAAAAAACTGAATAATAATAAAAATGCACATGGAATTAATTTAAATATAACACTATGTAATACGAATACGGTATGTCGTAATGATAATGATTTGCTAAATTCAGTCTCTTGAAAAATATAAGATATAGTTTCTTTAGAAATATTTGATGATGACGATGTAACATTATCATAAAATTTAACAATATGTTGTTCAACATAAGATGGAGTACAAAGGATTATTGAAAATATAACAATTATACTAACACCAATAAATGCTCGATCGGGTGATGATACATAAGCAGATAAAGTTTTACAATTTAAAAATACATAACGAAATGCAGCAAGAAAAACAGTTAACCTAAATAGAAAAAATATGCACTTTATTGTCTATCAATAATCGAAAAAAATAGAATATTTTCTCAAGTTTCTATTCAGTACACTTAATTATTTTTTTTGGTTGAGTGGGAATATTAAACTCTAGGGATTGATGGAATTCTTACTCTCTTTTTATCTTCGGGCGACATGACACGTCTAAGAAGTAGTCTTTTCTATCTTTTGTCTAAAGCGCTTTCGTACCTATGGAATCTGTCATACTATTTTTACATAGACAATATAAATTTTTTACTAAGAGAACTACGTCAAGCCCTGGAGCTTAATCAATTCCTTCAAGTGAAAACGATTAAATATATCGAATAAAATCCGAGATAAAATATTGAGTTTTCAAATTAACTATTTTCGATCCTTGTCTGAATAACTTATAATAACGAGCTATAAAACTTCTATTATAGTCGATTCATTTTGATCTTAATACACTTTAATAACTCTATAGAATTTTAATTTTCCGAATGAAATTTCTTTTTTTTATATATTTAGCGATAAATTTTAAATTAATAATCGAACATTTCCATTCAATATAAGCTTCTTAGAAAATTTTGAATTAATATAATACTTATCAACGCTATTTGATTTATAAGTATGAGAATATCTAAATTTTATTTCAAATTATTTGCACAAATGTACGAGTAATATTTGTCCTCATCATATAGGTCAATAATTTCCTAGTACAGCTCAGTATATAGATATGTTTATTAGATAAATTCAGAATTTCCTTTTTTTGACAGTATATAATCTGAATGCGTGACATGATAACACTTCAGACTATATTAATTTTTCTTACCATGTACTTATACAATGTAATGTTAATGTAAATAACATATGTATCATATAAAATCGAACTTGAAAATATGATGTTGCATCAGGTTCACTCTTAAGTTCACTTTTAGGTAAACAATAAAAAATAATAACTGCTGGTAAAACAGATACCATTTTAAGTAAATCTGATAATGCTAAGGATGTTAAAATCGTATTGGTTGATGAACGCATTAATGGACGTGTTAAAACAATAATATTAAATAAATTACATGTTAAACCAAATATACATACAAAACTTGATATAATACCATGATAATTACGATAGAGAAGTCTATAGCGAATAAGTGAATTCATGCCGTCAGTATTATCATGTGACGACGCATTAGTAAATTCAGATAATGTTATGGATTCTGTTATATTCAACATTATTTGTTGAAATATAGTTGAAGTTAGATTTAAATTCGATCGACTTGAATAAATTGATGATGATGATGTACCATATGGTATTACATCAATAATTAAAGCTAAAATATAAATAATAAGATAAAACAGATTTTATTTTATTTATATTGAAGTAAAAAAGAGGTATCTGTGCATTATATAAGAGTTTGTTATAGAAAGGGCATAATATAATTCCGGTTTAGCTCGTATAAGGACTGATAATCTATCCTTTTCTCTAGTGTATTCTATAGCGTTCTTCTTGTTGCTTTTTTTTACGCCTGTGGCATAACGGAACTTTGATCGACAGGATTAATGTGAACAACAGCGATATTAACCTACAACGGAGCGAGTTCCTGTGTTTATGTGACGCTCTTATACATTGTTTATAGTAGACTTAACATTCTTTGACAGATCACATTGATAATCAACTATAAACAGAACTCAATAATGTAATAAACGTCCAATGTGCGAAAGAAATAAATGTCGTTCAATATGAAAGGAAAAATAAGAAAAACTAATTCTTATATTTGATTTTCTTTAACTAAGATTTGCATTAATTAGCAAGAATACAGAGGTGTTTTTAATACTAACAATCATTAATCTCATAGTAAATTGGTGGTTATACGAATAAAACAGGAAATAAAAACAAAACCTAATAATCTTATATATGAATGCTGATTAAATCGATGTAAATACCACTTATGGTAATGAACTGCATGTGCCAAGATGAATAAAAAGTCGAACTAGCTAAATTTTTTTTGTAAATAAACAATTGTTTGAATTCTATCGTATGTTTTGACACGATCGGACATTTACTAAAGTGAAAGTGAAACCTAGACTATTGTGTATTTCTCTTATGATTATTATTCTTATCATGTTTTTGCTCATTCACTTGAAGAAATATGTAAGCTCTTTGACAAAAGAAAATATATTTTAACTCCATCATTATCACGCACATAGTTAAGAAAGTTTTTATATGAAAGAATACTTACGTTTAAGAAATATTTCTTCCATCGTTCAAAATTATTAATTTATAATAACAAAGGGAAAAAAATAGGACATAAATGATTTATAAAAGAGAAATGTAGTTCAAACAAAAAATGTTTGGAAAAAAAATCTATATTACCATTTTCTTTATTAACTTTTTATCTACAGAACTAACAATACTCAACCTAACGAGCGTATTATTGACAGAAATATAAAGAAAGTGTATTTATATTTGATAGTAAAGTGGTCCGGTTTTTTTTCCTTGATTTTTAGGACGCACTTGCGGAAGAAATAGAAAAGAAAACGACAAAAGGGTGACAAGAAAAAAGTCAGTTTATAATCATGATCACTGCTAGGCAAAATAGTACTCATAGATCGATTAATATAACCTAATATTACTATTTAGTTGGATTTCTTAGAGAAAAAAAAGTATCGACTTAACTGGAGTATGTTTTTTCCTTGGTGTCTCATATACCAGAAACATATGCGCAGCAAATATGAAATCCGAGTGTGTTTTATATACAAAGATGCATCTATAAAAATCAAACGAATCAAATTCTTTCAGATATGCCCTTAGAGAAAAAACAAAAGGATGTGCGATCCTTTTCTTTTTATTCATATTTGCCGGTCTTTCATATTTATTGGATCTTCTTTTTTTTATGAGAATATATATTCAATTCCTAATGTTAATAAGTATTTGACAGGCAAGTATATAAAAAATTTCATGACTTATTCTTACATTGACAAACTAAGCGGAAGAAGAAAATGATGCCATGATTAATAAAACAAGAGAAAATCCATTAACACTACTTAAAATGGTTTCCTTCTCTTCATCTATCTCTTTGTTGGCAAACGTGCTGAGAAAATGTAGAAACAAAAATACATATTTACTTTAGAACAGAAAAACTATTGTTAACTTAACAGACATGACTATTTTCTAATGTTATGTTTAAAAACTTTTTTCTTCTTTTAAATACAAAAACTTTTCTATTTTGATTCTTTGAATAAACTTAAATTATTCTTTTGTCAAATGTCAAAGAATTTCATTAGATATTTAAATATCTTTCAACTTAACTTCAAATTTATGTATCCGATTTTATTTTTATCATACTTAAAATATAATTTCAAGTCGATGAACATCTTATAACGATAATTAGATTTCTAGTATTTCCTTAATAAAATAATTTATCATTTTATGTTTATTAAGACTAAACGAACCCGTTAATATTAGACTTGAACTAAATATAAACCTTATCTTATATTTTTTTATTTTATACGCATAATCAGAATAGCTATTAAGAAAAAATAAAGAACATTTGATTTACCAGTAATAATTAGAAGACAATTTATTCTATATTTAATCATTATATAATATTGCACTTATACATGGTTGGAAGATTTGTTTCTCGTATGAAGCGTATAAAAATGTCGGAGGAAATTCATATCGAGCTTTTTAATATAGAGTACTTCCGAAATGAAATATTTTCCTAGGATACAAGATACTGTATTATAAATAATATCTAAAAATAATAAATAGATTTTTAAAAAATTTTATTCTTCCAATCATATTTTTTTTCTCTCTTTCTATCTATATATATACATATATAAATAATTGAATATAATAAAATTTAATGGAAAATATTTCACGATTCTTTCTATTATAGAATTAATAATTCATCATGATTTGCATTTATTTTATTAAAAAATTAATGCATCATATGGGTTAGACAGTAGTATATAACTATTATTTTACTTTCTCGTTAAACATGCTCAATCTTTTTGTTTTCTAGTCATTTGATACATCATACT